TATCTCCTTATGATTGTATATAAATAGGTGATAGTAAAGTAGAAAATGTAAGACTTGCCCAAACCGTTCTGACCGTTCTAGCCTGTGTGCCCCTATGTGGTTGCTGGCGATGGTACATGCCTTCAGTAGGGTCGCCCATGCCAGACAGGTCAAAACAGCAGGGTCAGACACAATACATCCGTGGGCAGGATGAGCTCGTTAGCCTTCTGGCAGTCATCCTAGAAGGACAACTCTAATCCCAAACCCGGGCAGATGGAGCTCGCTTAGCCCCGTAAAGCCATCCATCTAAGAGAAGGTCACTCTAATCAAACCTACGTCCTGAGGACCTCACTGCCACCGTCCAAGCTCGCTCGGCCCTGGCAGATGAACCTCAGGATTAAAGGGTGGGTTCAGTTCCGCGCATACTGCATCTCACCTAAAAATCCATTGCACAGGCTTGAAGGCTTTACCCACATGCAAAAAGTCCTGTAGCGACGGGCGAGGGTCGAAACGGCAGGTGAAAGGTGCACTGGGAGCCTCAGACTCAACCCTGCATGCAGGAGGTTCAGGATATTGGTCATTTGAGACTGACTGGAGATGACAGTCTCTTGGGGCAGCACCCTGAACGACCAAGCAGACTTTTCAAGGACAGCACTGCTTGCTCCACCCGGAGAGGGGCCTAGAAAATGTGGCCTAAACAAAGCTCATCTCCACTTTCACCCGGTTGGTTAACCGCAGGCCAACGGGCATCTTCTTCCAATGTGGTCGCACAAAGATCAAAAGACAAAGGCATGCACCTGCCTCCAAAGGTGTACCTAAATTAACTCTAGCATGTTGGAACATCAGAACCATGCTCGATTCTGCGGGTAGCGGATGTCCTGACCAACGTTCTGCCCTAATTGCCCATGAACTGGCTCGTCTCAACATCGACATTGCTGCTTTCAGTGAAGTTTGCCTTCACGAGGAAGGAAGCCTCAGAGAACATGGTGCCGGTTACACACTCTTTTGGTCAGGCAAGCCCAGAACCGAAAAACATCTCTCAGGTGTCGGCTTCATGATTAAAAACTCTATTCTTCCCAAACTCAAAAATCTGCCGACAGGTCACTCTGACCGCATTATCTCCCTGCGCCTTCCACTCCACGACAATCAACACGTTGTCCTCTTTAGTATATATGCCCCAACTCTCCAAGCCGACCCTGCCAAAAAAGATAAATTTTACACCGACCTGCGCCGCCTTACCCAAAAGGTGCCTGCAGATGATAAGATCATTATCCTTGGTGATTTCAACGCCAGAGTAGGTAAGAATTTTGAAGCCTGGAAAGGAATATTAGGCAAGCATGGTGTTGGAAACTGCAACGATAATGGTCAACTTCTGCTAGAATTCTGTGCGGAGCAACAGCTCACTGTCACTAATATTATCTTCCAGCAGAAAGATAGTCTGAAGACAACCTGGATGCACCCCAGATCTAAGCATTGGTACCTCATCGATTATGTCTTGGTGCGACGAAAAGATGTCCGCGATGTCCTCCATACCGGCGTGATGCCCAGCACAGAATGCCAAACAGACCATCAGCTTGTGCGCTGTAAACTCAACTTCAATCTCACATTCAAACCCAAAAGGCACAGTATCCCAAGGAGAAGACTCCAAGTTAACAATCTCCAATCAGCCACAGTAAGAGAGAAATTCCAGGAAAACCTTCAAACTAGGTTCAAAAACCATTCCACAGATTCTGCAGATTCCTCCCCTGAATCAATTTGGCACGATAGTAAAAACAGCATCCTGAAATCCTCTGAAGAATCCTTGGGGTTCTCCCTCAAGAAGAACAAGGACTGGTTTGATGAAAACAATCAAGAGATCCAGGAATTGTTGAGGAAGAAGAGAACAGCCCACCAAGCACACCTTGCACTGCCATCCTGTCACGCAAGAAAAACAGCCTTTCGTCTTGCATGCAGCAAGATCCAACAGAAACTCCGTGACATCCAGAACAAGTGGTGGATCAATCTAGCTGTAAAAATTTAATTATGTGCAGATACAAGTGATCACAGAGGATTCTATGAGGCCCTGAAAACAGCATATGGGCCTACATACCAGGCACAAAGCCCTCTACTCAGCGCAGATGGTCAAACGCTTCTAACAGATAAAACCTCCATTTTGAATCGATGGTCTGAACACTTTCAGACTCTCTTCAGTACCAATCCTGTAGTCCAAGACTCAGCAATTCAGTCCGTCACGCAACAACCGGTAAAGTATGAATTGGATACTGCCCCCACTTTAGAAGAAACCCTCAAGGCCATACAGCAGATGAAAATCGGCAAGGCAGCTGGGATTGATGGAATTCCACCTGAAGTCTGGAAACATGGGGGCCTCGCACTCCATACCAAATTTCACGAGTTTGTGGTGCACTGTTGGGAACTAGGTGAACTACCATCAGACCTTCATGATGCAGTCATCATCACTTTGTATAAGAAGAAAGGTATTAAATCAGATTGCTCAAATTACCATGGTATTACTCTGCTCTCCATTGCTGGCAAAATCCTGGCAAGAATAGTCTTGAAAAGACTAATACCTGCTATAGCTGAAGAAATTCTACCTGAAAGTCAGTGTGGTTTCAGAGCCAACAGGAGTACCACAGACATGGTATTTGTTCTCAGACAACTGCAAGAGAAGTGTAGGAAACAGAACAAAGGTCTCTATGTAACCTTTGTCGACCTCACCACAGCTTTCGATACTGTGAGCAGAAGAGGTCTGTGGCAGATTTTGGAACGTTTAGGTTGTCCCCCCAAGTTCCTCAAAATGATCATCTCACTCCATAAGGATCAGCACGGCCAACTCAGATATGGCAACACACTTTCTGAGCCCTTTCTAATAAAGAATGGCGTGAAACAAGGCTGCGTTCTCGCTCCTATCCTATTCACACTCTTTTTCAGCATGATGCTCCAAAGGGCCACGGCAGACCTCAAGGATCAGGACAGTATCTACATTCGATACCGTACTGATGGAAGCCTATTCAACCTAAGGCAACTGAAGGCCCACACCAAGACCTTAAATCATCTTGTCCGGAAGCTGCTTTATGCTGACGATGACGCCCTTGTTGCCCACACAGAAGCAGCTCTACGGCGTTTAACATCCTGCTTTGCAGACACTGCTGAGCTCTTTGGAATGGAAGTCAGCTTAAAGAAGACAGAAGTTCTCCATCAACCGGCACCTCAGGAAGTCCCCCATCATCCCCACATCACCATTGGCCAATCTGAACTCAAATCAGTCCTGCAGTTTAATTACCTAAGTAGCCTCATCTCCTCGGATGGTAAGATTGATGGGGAGATAGGTAACAGGTTAGCAAAGGCATATAGTGCTTTCGGAAAGCTTCATAAAAGAGTTTGGTGAAACAAACACCTGAAGAAAAGCACAAAGATCAGTGTTTACAGAGCCATAGTTCTGTCTACTCTCTTATATGGATCTGAATCTTGGGTCATCTACCGCCACCACCTGGGACTCCTAGACTGCTTCCATCAACGCTGTCTCCATTCAATCCTGAACATCCACTGGTCAGATTATGTGACCAATACATCTGTTCTAGAACAAGCAGCAGTCACATCACAAGTATTGAGGCCGTGTTGCTGAGAACACAGCTGCGTTGGGCAGCGCACATCTCTAGGATGAAGGACCACTGCCTTCCTAAGATCCTGCTTTATGGTGAACTTGCCACTGGCTGCCGCAAGAGAGGAGCC